CTAGGAAGGGTTCTGGTTGTCCCAAACGTCTTCCATTTAAGGATTATGGAGGCGACTGTGCTCTTAGGAACCTTAAGTGCAGCAGAAATTCTTTTTTTTTTTGTAACCTTGGCCAGATCTGTGCCTTGCCACAATTGTGTCTCTGAGCTCTTCAGGCAGTTCCTTTGACCTCATGATTCTCATTTGCTCTGACATGCACTGTGAGCTGTAGGGTCTTATATAGACAGGTGTGTGGCTTTCCTAATCACGTCCAATCAGTATAATCAAACACAGTTGGACTCAAATGAAGGTGTAGAACCATCTCAGGGATGATCAGCAGAAATGGACAGCACCTAAGTTAAATATATGAGTGTCACAGCAAAGGGTCTGAATACTTATGACCATGTGATATTTCAGTTTTTCTTTTTTAATAAATCTGCAAAAATGTCAAAAATTCTGTGTTTTTCTGTCAATATGGGGTGCTGTGTGTACATTAATGAGGAAGAAAATGGACTTAAATGATTTTAGCATATGGCTGCAATATAACAAAGAGTGAAAAATTTAAGGGGGTCTGAATACTTTCCGTACCCACTGTACATCTGAATGAAGTCGCACTTCATTGGTCATGTTATAAAGCTGTAAGAAATGACTAAATGCTAAAGATTTGACCTTTTATCAATTTGAACAACTTTTCTTGCCACATGAATGTTTGAAGCACCTGTGACTAAAGCCACTGTGCTGATCAGATTCCTCAAAGCTAGAGTATTTTATAAGCCTTTTCCCCTCTGAAGAATAAAGGAATAAGTTTAAAAAAAAAATTGATTGCAGTGGTTAAAGGAGGCCACATAGATGTTTTTTTTATGATTTCTGGTCACCTTTTATCTGGTATTTGGAAAAGATAAGAGATACAGACATTCATTAGGCTTAATTAAAATGGAAAAATATGTGATTATCATAATGTTGGTTTAATGTGAATCATTATCACCATCATCATTACCTTTCTTTCTTCAGGGAAAGACCAGTTGAGAGCCAGCTCTCATTCTCAGTGGTGTCCTGACACAGTAAAACATTAACATATGAATCATATAAAATCATTATCAAAAATCCAAACTCACAAAACCCACATTAAAAAGGAAAGAAGAAGAAAAAAGCAATGTTAAAAAAGTAAAAAAAAAAAAAAACTAAAGCACCCAAACACAAAGAAACTTTGCATATGCCGAAAAAGTCTGATTAATAGCATAATGTGTGTCTCCTCTTATCACAAGATACTGATAAAACAGCTGTAAGTGTAACCAGAACAGGAGGACATTACAGGAATTTACAGTGTGTTAAATGTTTCCTTTGTTCCTCCCTATGGTAGCTCACTCAAGCAATTTCAGAAGGTTGCAGCCTACACAGAGCTCATTATCCCTCCCACCCATGCCCTACTATCACAGTCTATCATATAAAATCATTCTTCTACAGAATTGATTTATACTTCCAGCAGTAATTACACATATTCATAAAAATAACCCTTGCACTTTCACCTTGCTGACAGAAATATGAGTATACTGGAGCATGCATTTGTCTCATGCACCATCTTAATTAAGAGCAGAGATTGATTTAATCGCTCTTATTTTTCTTTCAGTATTGTTCTAAAATGTGAATCCCAACTGTGGCACTTGGCCAAAGTCTAAAATGCCAGCAGACTTTTTTTCTTTGCACTCAGCCCCTGAAATAAACCCCATGCGCCATTCCATTTGGCAAACCAATTTGGGATGGAAGGAGGGGGTGGGGGCTGCAGGAAGGGGAGACATATAGGTTAGCTGTAGTAATAATCATAAATCACTTCTGAAATGCTGCCATGTCACATGCCAGACTGTGCCACTAATGACCAGGCCCATCTTTCACCGGGTATTTTTATCTGTGTGCCCTGACACTCGAGTTCTGGAAGCGTCCTCTCATTTTACATCGTCAGCACCTCGGCCCGGCCTGAGCACAAGTTCCTCACATATCTATAAATACCAGCCAGCTAAATGGCATTTTCTCTCTCCCACCCCCTGCTTGGCAAGAGCCAGGAGCTCTGTGACTTGGCACAGGGACCTGCAGTCATACACCACTAAACATCTTGGGGCTTAACCCCCACACCCCCACACCCCAGCATCACCCTCCCAAGAACAGCTGGCCAAAAAAATAGACCCATCTGCCACAGCCTTCAAATTACAAAGTGGTTTCAGTTTAATTAAACAAGTTACAAGTGGTTTGCACACAACTAAAAAGTAACATTGATCAGCTTCAGAACAGCTGTGAGATGAAGGTGCTACACTGCAGGTGTAGTTAAAGCACTGACTTACATCAGAGCTTGTATACACACACAAAGAGAAACACACAAACACCTGTACATGCTTCCTTTGTGCAAAATGTTCTGCCAAGTTTTTTAAGCTTGCTGACATGTGGCGCTAGAGACTGCAGGTCAGCGACAGCTTCCTGCTATTTTGGGCTCTGTCACAGCTTGAGGTTTTAATTTATTCTGCCAGAATGTGTCAATCACTGAGCAGCAGGGTTCAGGCTTGAGTCTGCTGTGGTAGGGACAGGGAGGAAAGAACAACAGGTTAGGCCTTAGTCATACTGAAGAGGTCTAACAGGACTGAAAACAAACAGAGGGTATGACAGCAGCTAAACTTTGCTGTTAATAGAAACTTCGGAACGATTCCTGACCATAAAAAAACTGCACAAAATGGCAAAAATGTAAAGTTAAATGGTTTTGCTTCAAAACTTGCGTTTACACTGCAAAGAAAGAAAACCTGCTTCCAGTGGAGTGGGAAGCCAGAGAGGGATCATGCGCTAATTGCTGCACTGGCAATTTTTTACTGGTTGGTTGGGGCATCTGCATGGAGGTGGGTGGGGGGTATATTACATTGTATGGCCTCCAGCAAAGCTCATTGATAGAAAAGAACTGGCTGGTGACACAGTGTGTTAGGTATCACACTTGTGCAGCCCTACCAACCAGCCAACAGGAGCGCTAAGGCCCTGACGTAAACCCCACAACAGACACAGACCCGAACAGCAGATATTTGTCCAACTTTGGGTTTCAGCTTAGACATTAAACAGATGTGAGTACATGTGCGGTCAGCATAGACTTACATTCATTTCCAGGAGTTCTACCCTAACCATAATCAGAATAACTACTTGCCTAACCTTAACCAATGCCAGCACATGCACTAACCTTACAACCCGTCATTTTCATAAAATTCAATGGAGTGGTTGTGGGGCCCGGCCTCTGGTCCCCTGACATGACTTCCAGTGTGCTCCCAGTGTTCCTTTCTGACTTGTTTATATAAACAAGGCCACACACACACACACATCACTCATCATGCAATGTCATGCCTGCTACGCATGGTATTGTATGACTTTGCAGTGCATATCCTGTGTAGTCCAGGTAATAAATGATTACAAAGCTCAGTTTTAAAGCAGTGTCACCTCATAGACTAGGGTCCTCATGTACATATGTGATGCTGACTGACAATAAAGGAGTGCAGCCAAAGTAAAGAAAAGCACTGGTTCATTTTTACACATAATAAACAGTTTGATTCTTAAGCATGTATGCTTCATTATTTGAACTATGGGTTTATTAATATGCATTTCAAATGTGCCATCCCTCTCTGAGTCTGTGCCCCAGGCTGGCCTCCCTGTCCAATGTTCTAGATCCGCCCCTGCTCTCTCCAAACAGAATATCATGCCACACCACCAAGTAAGTTGCTCCAAAGACAAGTTAGCATCTCTTTTTTTACAATCCCAACTTTGGCCCAGTGGGTACAAAAATTGTCAATGCCATCAACACCCTCTGTGTCACTTCAGTGGTCCCTCTAGTTTGCTGTTGCTGTGACTTGGTTATTGTTAAAATAAATAAATCCAGTAAATGTTTTTTGACTTTTGCTTTTGAGAGCCACTTTTATGTCTCCACCATACCTACATTTTTTTTTTCAAGAGGTCACCAGAGCAGTTTATGATGTGGCAAATTCCTATAATTATTTTTATTCTTATTATTGTACCAGCAATGAAGCAGACACATTTAAGGACAATGAAATAAATGAAAAAGAACTGAAAATGAACTGACTGCTTCCTTTTCTCCCTGCTGGCTCTTTTTCACTTTTGCTTTGCCAGGAAATGACCTTCTGTCAGGGCCTGATGAGTCAGTCATTGCCACAAAACTATATGTTGTTTTTTTTTAGTATTTGTGTAGACTATGTGATGCCAGGGAACTTTGGCTCTATTCATTTTACATAAAATTACTAAGAAGCATTTTGAAAAAACATAAAAAAAATGTTTTTTTCTTTGCTTGTCATGATTTTTATAGAATGGATGGCTGGATGGCTGGATGGATAGATAGATAGGTAGATAGATAGATAGATAGATAGATAGATGCAGGCTGGTCAGTTGATTTTGCTCTGATGGGATAAATAAAACTGTAAGTACGTCATTTGGGCCAAACTATTAATAAGAATGTCATTTCGGTATCCCCCACCCCTCCCTCCCTCCCCCCTGAACCCCGTTACTCCGTTGGACGCTCGCCCAGTAGTGCCCACATGGCAGCTGGACGCATGCGCAGAGGCAGGGGGTTCAATAATGAAGTGAGCCTAATTCCTCTGAGCAGCCTGGTGCGCAAACTTGGACGCCGACTTAAAATAATGTCGTGTCGCGCACAACTAAGCGGTCTCGTCAGTGAAAGCGAGTCCTGGGACGTGCGGCCGAGTTTGTAAATGTGTTTCATCGAGTCTGACTAACTCCCCAGCCTTGTTTTCTTGAACTCTTGCTGTGGTAATGGCCCGCAGTGGCTGAAGTGTTTTGATCCAGTGACAGCCTGCAAACAGCAGGGAGAGCTGTGCGGCGACCACGCTGCATTTGATAATGAGAGCTTCCAAGGAGTGAAGGAAGTCTTGGAGCTGATTTCACAGGACGAGAATATTTTAACGCAGGTATGTTTACTTTTTATTTCAATCACAGACGTGGTTTTACTCTGCCAAATAACAGGTCAGTGACAGTTTGTCATAGTCGACTTCGGTTCAGTCTGATTCATTTAATGATTTTTTAAAATAAGTAATTAGCAAAGCGTGTCTTAATTTAAAACGTGTAGAACAAGGTTTATCAGCTGTTTGTATTTCACATCTGACAACATTGGCAAAATTATAAACTTCTTTGATATCTTATATTGTTGTCAGAAGAGCTCATTTTTAAGCCGCTGTCCATGTCTCACGTGACTCAGTTTGGGATGGAGTCCAAACTTAAACCCACCACGACAGGTTAAACGTCCTTAAATAGATTTTGATCTTCCTACAGATTTCATGTAAAAACAACATGATCTTATTGCCAGTAAATTAACCGGAATTTAATCTATCCCGTTCGTGTAAGAAATAGGTTTCCATGATCCGTTTCAAGAAAATGTTATTTGATAAAAAAAACAAAAAACATTTGGCTTTAATCTGATATCAATGTGCAGCCTGGTCATCTGTAAGTGCAGATCAGTGCGGTTTCCACATCTTTTTACCCAGATTTCATCAGTGGACAGATGGAGGATTGTATGGCTCTGTGTGGCCACGGTGCTCTGCCCCACACCTCCGTGGTTCCACGGGTTTTCTCTCCATCTCTCATCTTATCCCACGTGGAGTTTGTGTTTATATTTGATATGTAGGAAACGCGGATCTACGGCCGGACTCTCAGGGCTTGAATGGCCTCCGGCTATTGGCCTGTGCCTAACAACATGACAAGTTACGCGCCGACTCAAAATCTGATAGGGCCATCTGCGCCGTAATCTATACGGATTAGATTTCACATTAAGGACTCATACTTAACCAACGCGCATTAATGCGCAAGCGATGGATGAACGGGATTTGATGTGTGGAGATATGGGGAAGATGATAAAAGTCCTGCACATAGAGACAGAAAAATTATTGTTCTGGCACCTTTTAAAATAAAACAGGAGTTTGACCATTTAGAATAAACATTTGAAGTAGTGTTGTGTTATTTGTAAGAAGAATAGTAGATTGGCGTTTATAAAAATACAAGTGTAAGGGGTTTTTGTATGATCCATTAAATTCTGCCATTCGGTGTCATACTTTTTTCTTTATTTCTTTGTTTGTTTCTGTCTTTTATTAGTTTTATGTTGCAGGATCATTATCGGTGTTTTAGTGAGGAGATAAGACATCTCTGTAGAATTTGGCTTTGGAGCGGAATCTGATCACATTTTAATTTATCATTGTGTTGCAGTGAGAAGGCTTCACACCCTTCATTTCTTTCTCTCTTTCATTTTAATAGCAATAAAAAAATGCATCAAGACATTTGTGGTTTTTCTTAAATATTTGTATTATAGGTACCTGGTCCATATATTCTAGATATTTTTTGAATTACGCACAGAAAGATTCCCACTAATAAAAGTTGTGTGTGTGTGTGTGTGTGTGTGTGTGTGTTCAGTGTTGCTGCCGAGAATAGTAAATGTGGTTCAATTAAATCCAGAGTTAAGTGAGAAGGAGAATCTGCATCTTCCGTTCGAACAGGCATTTGACAAGATAAATCCTTAACTGTGTCATCTGAGATCGATTTGTGCGTAAAACGATTGTCAGTGAGATATGAGTCGAACCGAATGTGACTTTTCACTACAACCTCTCCGGCCAAGCAGCAGTCTGCGGTTTGTTCAACATATTCCTCTCTTCGGCTTTTATAGCGTGAAATCATACCGCAGTGTAGCTGGGCAGTCCACTTTCAAACCCTCCGCCGTCCCATATGTGTTTCTTATGTCGCTGTCAATAGCCATAGTGAGAAATCTAATTCTCTCTTCTGGGACGCTGAAGGAAATGACAGGCGTTATTGATTTACTGTGCAGTGTCAGGTAACTACTGGGAGGCTTTAGGGCCGTGAGAGGCAGCCGTGTGTAGTGGGATACAACACGTAGAAGGTGAGCAAAAGCGGCTGCTCTTCAGCCTGTAGCACAATTTAAGAACATTTAGCCAGTTTTGGCTTCTGTTTTTAAAAGGCCAATATGCTATAAAGGCTCCACTTTGATGCCTTTCACTTTTCAGTATATTCTTTACGTTTTCTGCCTATTTGTCGTGTCGTCCGCTACATCCCCTGCTAAAGAGGTTCTATATCATGGAGGGGGAGAGTGAAACGCACCCAGACACAGGGCTGCTTCTGCCCTCCGCAGAGGTGAGAGAGGGAGCGACAGAGAAGGGGTGAGGGAGGCTTGGTCTCAAATCAATTCACCTGAGAGACGCATTATTGTCTTCGGTTTCAGGCGAGGAGGAGCTGAACGCTATGAAAAATTAAAAGGATGCCAGTTAGTTTAAAGGCTCAAGCCAGGAAACTCCGCAGCGCACGAGCACGCAGACACGCGCGTTTTTTTTTTTTTCATGCTTCGCGGGGACTTTACGTTGACTCGTAACCTGGAGACTTAACCGCTAACTTGCCTCACCCCAGTCCGCCCTCACCCCAAAACTCAGCGGTTGGGACAAATAGGTCGCCATGAAGAAGGCGAGTGTGTGAATGTGTAACAAGTTCCCACAATGCATGTAAAACCGGGCGCGCGCGCGCGCACACGCCGACTTGGGTGTTCATACCATGTTTAAGGACAAACCTTTTCTAGAAGAGTAAACTGGACATATTCACACATACAGGCTATCACATACACAAATACACCGATATATACACAGATGCAGTGGTGGAAGAAGTACTGTGATTGTTTACTTAAGCAAAAGTACCAAAAAAAAAAAAAAAACAGTGTACAAATAGTCTTACAAGTAAAAGTACTAGATTCTAAATGTTCCTTAAGTAAAAGTACAAAAGTAGTATCATCAAAAGATACTTAAAGTACCAAAAGATAAAGTACTCATTATGTAGAATGGCAGTGATGTATATCATGTTTGTGTTGGTCAGGTTGGTAAAGGTGGAGCTGATGTTAACTGTCTATTTGAATTACTGCTGGGTAGCTGTTGAATTTCCCCACACATAAAGTCTTATGATTATACTGTATTTTTTTTGTAGTTAATCTGATTCTGAAAAGTAACTAGTAGCTAAAGTTATCCAATAAATGCAGTGGAGTAAGTTTTTGCTGCAGTACCACAGTGTAAAATATTCTGTTACAAGTAAAAAAGTCCTGCATTCAAAATGTTACTTTAGTAAAAGTCCAAAAATAATGGCATCATAATATACTTGAAGTACTCGCATTGTGGAGAATGGCATTTAACATTAATGTATCATATTACTGTACTATAGTTATTGATGTATTGTTGTGTACATCATATTTAATGTTGCAGCTGGTAAAGGTGGTGGGGGTATTAACTGGCTTATACTGTGAAGTACCACTGGGTAGCTTGTGAGTTTTCCACCAGAGATACATAAAATCTTCTGATTATGCTTTATTTATCTGACCTTGAAAAGTAACTAGTAACTAAAGTCATAAAATAGATGCAGTGGAGTAAAAAGTAAAAGATTTGTCTCTAAAATGTAGTGAAGTAGAATTATGATGTAGCACAAAATGAAAATACTCAAAGTACAGATACCTCAGAACTGTACTTAAGAAAATATACTTGGTTACTTTCCACCACTGAACATCTAGTCACTTAAGATGAAGTGAAATAGAGCAAGTGCATACATAAAAATTGAAAGTAATTTTTTTTCCATGGGCAAAATTAGCTGGAAACGGTTCAGTGGCACTCCTTAACACCCTCGGTGGGAACCACAGATCTAGTGACAGGGAAGGACTTTTGTGTTGTGCGTGTGAGTGCGTGTCTTTGCAGCCTACTCTTTTGTTCCGTTGTCAAACCTTCCTGACGGCCTTTGCACAATATAGCTTAGAGGAGCCATTTTGTTCCATTCTGTTGGGATGATGGCATTGTCTCCCATTGTTTTTGACCGGGACTTTTGTTGCAGCGTCACTGCATGACAGTAGCAAAACAAACAAAACAATGTCTTCATTTTTCTGATTGCAACATCTTATCTGACTTCAGTTCTAGACAATCATCTCAGCCTCCAGACTCCTGCGCCAACCTGTCTCCTGTCTAGTATTAATAGGGTCACTCACTGTCTTCATGTGCTAGTCAGCCATGGTGTCTATGGTCCATAGGCAGCCAAGCAGCCATATCATTTACACTTCTCTATTTTCATTGTTGATATTTACTTCTGCAATTATCTCTCCACTTCACCCTGGGCTGAAGATGATATGCTGAAGTTAATGCTGCCGCTTCCCTCCTTCGGTCTCCTGTTGCTCACACATAAACACATCGACAGAAGGTCTAACTGACAGATGCATGCAGACATGAATAAGGAAAATAATACAGTATGGTGGGTGGTATCAGCATTAATGTGACTGTAAGCGATTGTATTTGGCAAATACATGGGCAAGTGTTTGAAGTGTTCTTTCCATCAACATCCCTGCAAAACAGATGGTACAGGTGATCGTTTACCATTAAACCTGTGCACAGGTAAATTAAAAAAGGTGACTTTTTCATTTTATATCCACTGACCCACATCTTATTTTCTAATTTTTTGTCCCTTTGAATGCAGTGGATCACAGCGCAAGAACCCATGGAGGCCTCACAGGACCTCAGCGAGCAGATGGTGAGTTAAAAGCTACTGTATGCATTTGTGTGTGTGTGTGTGTGTGTGTGTGTGTGTGTGTGTGTGTGTTCCTTGTATCAGCTAGACATGTCTGAGGTATTGGTGCAATGGATGTGTGTCTATGCATGCGTGTGTGGTAACACACAGCAGATGTGGATCCGTGAGTATACAGTAACCATATGGCAGCAGTCAGAGTGAATGACACTTGGACATAGACAGCAATTTAAGAATAGTGTGTGCGCACGCACGGGAGTGTGTAGGTGAATTTGTTAATATAGGTCTACATGCAATTTAAGCAAATCCATAGTCATGAAAAAAAAAACTGATTAACTAAATGAAGTGTATTTTTGAATCTATACCATGTCTTTTAGACCTCAGCCATGCACGATGGCACACACACACACACACACATGCACACACAGCCACAGGGTTTGTAAGTGTCTCAGCACAGCAGGCTGTTTTTGCGTCATGCGAGGACAGCGTCCCAGTTCTGCTTGTTTAAAGATCAGGCTGTATTGTTGGGAAAATGATTTTGGCGGCGAGCAAGGTCCACTCGCATTTCAAAGTCGTTAGTCAGCCACCAGAACAGGTGTAATTTCATCTCCTCCTCCTCCTCCATCAAGCTTAGTTCTCTCTCTCCCTCTGACCTGCCAGCCTCGACAGTAATAATAGCACAAAGTGGGGCAGAGCACATGAAGTATGTTGTTTTTCTCCCACTTTTTGTGTTGCTCTGTCAGACTCGCCCTGGTTTAGATTACAGGCTGACCCCAGCGAAGGAGTGTCACTCACGTTTGTGTGCATGTACGGTACCGTACATGCACACAACCAATGCAAAACACAGAGAGAATTATTAAGAAAGAAGAAAAGTAGAAAGAGGACCATCCATCTTGTATTGCTGCCATCCGAACATCAAATATTGATATCCATATTCCACAATTACTTCACCTGCTTTAAATAGGGCGGTGATATCATTTATAATGTGAATTTGAGCTGCAGCTCAAAGACATTGATTAATTGTTCAGGTTGGAAATAAGAGCTCAGAGCAAGGACAGAGATTTTAATCATTCCACACAGACTGAGATTTGTGACTTCTGGAAATGTTTGGTCTAGCTTGGTCATTTAAATGTGTTTTAGTCTAGTATTTATTTTTTATTCCGTATTTGGTTTCACTGATGTGATGAAGTTTTGGGTATACAGTGTATAGTCTGCATTCAGTTTACAGCTTTAATTACCAGGTTTAAAGGAACACAATCTAAAATGAAAGCACTGTTTAAAAAAAAAAAAAAATCCTATGTTAATCAGGTTATGATTTGGGTCTAGTTAAAATATTTTGGAGAGGTGCACCAGTGTTATCTCTGATAACAATGGGGAGGTCATAACTGTATGTAAGGCAGGGTGACATGTTCATTGTATAAGAAAATGTAATCAGTGAACTGACAAGGTTAGCCAAGCAGGTACAGCTATACTTAACTGCCATGTAGGAATGCAACTATTGATTATTTTCTCAATTAAATGATGAATTGATTGGTTTGTTAACTGTTGGAAAAAGTGCCCAAGTTGACACTTTCAAATGTCTTGTTTTACCCCACCAATGCTCCAAAGCCCAAAGATTAATAGCAGAGAAACTGAAGTAAACAAGAAAATAATTACAACTGAGGAGACGAGATCAATCATTTGGAATTTCTAATAAAAAAAAAATTCTTTCCAGTTATGTGCTTTATGTGCTCTCACTCTGATTACAACTGAAACCTACAGAGTGACTGACAGCTTTCACAGGCTCATTCTAAATTTAACTGAAAATGGAGGTTTTAATTTGTAAATGGGCTCAGTAGTTGCAATTAATTTCCTTGGAATGCTTTCCACTTGTTTAATATTTAAACTCAATGTGGCTAATTCTTTCCACGCACCGCTTCACTGAATTAGGCATTTCTCGGGTGACTAAGAAAACAGCGTGGACCTCACACACAAAGTTTCGGGGAGTTGTCTGCTGATACCTGATACACCCACTCCTCCCTTCTACCCTTTAAAGTCCCCACTGTCGCTTACTTCCTCCACTCAGTCTTTTCCCACCACATCCATTGTGTGTCATCTGGGTTATGGTCAGGTGTCCCCTCTGGCCGCCTGCCTGCCGAGGGCCAGCCTGCCGTCTGGGGTCCTCAGGGAGCGCTGGAAGGAGCCTGAGGCAGGGCCAACAGTGGTTCGCCCCATAATGCTACTTTTAGCTTGTTTAAGTGTCTCACTCCACCTGTTATCCTTTGGAGAAAAGGGGGTGACTGTTGTTGCTTTTGAGCGATGCTTGGGAGATGATAATGAAGAGACATTGATGATGGTGTTTGGATCAAATGTTACATTCTGAATTTAGGATCAGTTAGTTTAAACATAAGCAGATATTTAGTAAAGAGAGGCCAGCATAAGTTGCTGAGTACACACTCACAAACTCCACACAGATTCATGGCTCTTGATCCAACAGAGCCCCGAGTCTCCAGTCTGTTGGCTTATGGAGGAAGCAGTGAGAGATGAGGGGAGCGGTGGTGTTTGTTGATCCCGGGGAGCCTTACAGGATTTAAATGTATGGCCCTGAGATGGAGGAGGAAGAAAAAGGGATGAAAAAAGAGGGGGGGAAAAAGGTTCTTTTAGCTGTAGCCTTTTCCTTTGGTGCACTGGGAGAGGCCCAGAGTATGGCAGCTGTCCCAGTTTGTGTGTGTGTGAGATAGAGAGAGAGAGAGAAAGGCGAAGAAAGAGAGAGAGACCAAGTTAGAGGAGGAAAAGGGTCAGGTTGCACCCCTCTTTCACCCCTACAACCCCATACAGACACATTCACACAAACTTACATGCAGCAGCAGTAGCTAAATACGAGCGCAGCCCAACCCTGATTGCCCTGATCGGCGTCACAGACAGTCAGTTCAAAATCTGCCCGACGACAAGGCATGTAGACAGATTATAGGAGTGTGGAGTGTAACAGCTACCCCCTAGCATCATTTTGGTAGGCTGGCAACCTTGTTGTGGCACCGGGGTGCACTTCAATTTCAGCTTAGTGTACAGCGATTCTTGTAAGATTTAAGTTTAGTTGACAGCTGAGTGTTGAGAGCAGGTCAGACGTCTTGTCACCTCCGTCTAAAGCTGAACTGAGAGAAGAGAAAGTTTCAGACACATGTGAATGAAATAGAAGTCATTATTATGGTTGATAACTTGGGCAAAGGAGATGTGACATGGATGAGATTAAAAAAAAAAAAGGAAGCAAAATGTGTATTGTGCCAAAAGGGCTTTAACGCAACAGGAAGATGTTGATGATTATATGCTAAACGAACATGATTGATCAAGTTATAATAAGTGATGCTGGGAGCCTAAAACCAGTGATTCCTTCCAGCCTACATTTCTGCTGTCAGTCATCCTGGTGAAGACAAAATAGCCGGCTCCTGTGGTCTTAGCTGCTCTGGAGCTGCTGCTGCTGACAGGACATCTGTTTCTGAAGACAGACAGCCAAATGCGGGTCGGAGTCCGTGTGGATTGAACGAAGAGAACGCTTAATTTATTCTTACAAACCACAGCGGCTAACTAGTGGCTGGCCGTATTTAGCAGACAGACATGATTGTGATATTGATCTTGTCATCAAAAATTTGGTAAGAGAGCAAATAGGCAGATTTTCCACCATGATGGTCCATTTTTACAGTGTAACATACTCTGGATTACAGTACCTTAACGAAGTATTAGATTCACCATCAAAGTGAACTGGCAATTTCTGAACTTTTCCCAGGCTCTGCTGGATTTTGAATACCTGCTGTGAGTACTACACATAAAGAATCCCATATCAAATGTGAAAAACCCCTTTATTTAGACATTTATCTAAGACCAAAACAACTGTCTATCATCAAAACCTATTCAGTTCTTAACTTTGGCTCAGATCATTTGCAACTCATATATAAAAGAGCTGAGCGAGAGTCTGCACAGTGAAGCAAAGTCAGCTAGGTGTGAGGTCAGCAGGTCACAGACAGCCTGCGAGCCAGTCATAGTCTGACAGAGTCAAACCCCCCAAACAGACTGGAGAATCCATCTAGAAACCCAGAGCAACCGGCGTGGGCTTTCTAGAGGAACGTACCAGACAGGAAACCACAGGATATGTGTGCCTAAGTGTCTGCCATGTGTGAGTGTGTAGGTGTTGCTTTGTCTGTTATACACATACGCTTTCTGTGGTGTGGGACGGCTGAGGTCATCTGAGCGGAGACCGTCTCGTGATGTGACCATGCTGGTTTAATGGAAGTCAATCAGGGCACAAGATTTCCTGCCAAGATTCCTCACTGTATTGATTAGTCAGAGTTTTTAATGCAAATCATAGTACTGCCAGATGCTATTTCACAGTACTGAACATTTTAGCATGATAAATTCTTAAAGAAACTACAGCAGAAATGACACTGAATTCAAACTCTTCCAAAAATTAGAAGAAACAGATGTAGTCAGTAAAGTAGTTAAAGATTTTATTCTTAGCTCCCAGCAACTTCCTTAAATAGAGTCCTTGATAGAGCAGTCTAACTTTTATTCGGCCTAGTCTTCTGGCCAAATGCTCATCTGCCATTGGTTACAAAAAAAAAGGAGCATATTTCCTCATTTTATTGGGAAAGAAATGAAATTGCACCAATTGTGCTTTGGTAATAGAGGAACCTGCCAGACCTGCCTGCTGCGAGAACTTCCTCTGCCGCTTTGCTGGGAGATTGGATTTCTCTCTCTCCGTGGTGAAGAATCAGAGAGGTAGCAGAGGGGACGCCAAGGCCAGCCGGGCTGCAACCTGTGTCTCTGGGCTGAGCTGATACTTCAGACTAAGGCTGCAACTAATGATGGTTTTCATTATTGATTAGTCCACTGATTCATTTTTTTATTTTTTAATTAACTTTATTTCTCTTATATCTGCTCTATATTGTTTGTTCTTGTGATAAGGTGTGTAATGTTTTGTCAGAGCATCAGTCCAAAACTCAAAGATATTTAATTAACAATTAAAAACAAAGCAG